CATGTAAAATCGAATTCAGATGCTCACTTCAAACCAGGTATAGAGAGCACAGAGAAACACACAAACACAGAAATCCCTTTGGTGAAATAATCATCACTGTTCTAACATTTGCAGTACATAAAGTATTCATGTTAAACCCACACGCCTGTTGTTAGAAGATGATAACATAAGTAACTTAAGTACTGAAATTAGTAGGGACTTCTGATTCAATAAGCAGCAGATCCTCAGCAACCAAAGCATATGGGTATCAGATGCACAAATACCTCGGCTTAGACATACTGATGAAGCAATCTGCTGGCAATCAAAAACAAGAGTTACAAAGAAAAAGACTATCAAGAAGGGAAGAACAAGATGTAGAAAACGTACCTTCTCACAGTCATTCTCTGTAAACTTAGTGAGGAGTCGGCTTCTCTGTTGGGACTTGAGATTTCTCAGCATGGAGGCGATGATGGAGCACACGTGTTCTAAGGAGAGAAAAGCAAAGAGTTAAGTTCAAGATTCCTTATAGCAACAAGCAACCTTTAAATCATTCTCCTAAGCTTTCCATCCATCCATTCATCGTCTTCTGCTTATCCAGGCTAGGATCGTGGAGGTAGCTGGCCAAGTAGGGTATCTCAGAAATCCCCTTCCCTAGTCAGGCTTTCCAGCTCTTCCTGGGCTATCCCAAGGTGTTCCCAGGCCATATGAGATATTTAAGGCCTCCAGCAAGTTCTGGGTTTAGCCAGGGATCTTCCCCTGGTTGGGTGTGTCCAGTAAATCTCCAATGGAAGGTGCCCAGGGAGCATCCTCAGAAGATGCCTGAACCACCTCGGCTGTCCTCTTTCCACATGAAGGAGCAGCGGTTGAACTCCTCAGTCCTCACCCTCATCTCTAAGCATGAACACAGACACCTGACGGTTTCCAGATGCTCAATGGTCACCTATTGTCACAAACTCTGGGTCCTTAAGTTTAGTTTGATCAATTGTCAAATGAAATCAATCTTCATACATGTGTATTATTACTTTACGGAACATATTGCAGAACTGCCTTTCTTTTTTCACCATCTTCTCAGACAAACACTTGCAGTACGTAACAACCCCCCCAACATGATGGTATTAAAAAGCTCATAACACTGACCAATGCAGCCGAACAGGTGAATGTCCTTAAACTAGCTCGAGCTATGTTTATCCTCCATTATTGAAAATTGTCTCAAACAGTCACATCCACAGACCTCAGAAAGAACAAATCGATTAGCATGTGATAATTTGAAATTTCAGCACGCAGCCAGCAAGGCATGGATATTCTTACATAGAGTGTGCAGAACAAGAGGAGAAAATGTTATTGAAATTTAGGAATCAATTTTCATCTGGAACATATGTAATGGTTGTGGCTGAATTACATTTATCAGGGTGATGGAAATTTGTCTGTGACAGCTCTGGGCCAATAGAGCAAGAGGGAGGTCAAAAAACTATTTAATAGAATTAGCTACAAAAACTAGTTAGTCCTATTGAGTGCCCTTGTCAACCAATTCATGCTACGTAGGATCTCATTCAAATGGCTTCTTACTCACGGGCTGCACCCTTGGGCGGCAACATGGTGTCATATTTCTCTCTGATATTGAATGAAAGGCACACTCTGCACAGGGAGAACAGATTGTGATATTGTAAAATCTCTGGATATACAGAGTGGAGGGAAAAAAATGTAATTGGACTTTATCAACAAGAGGTCAATATTATCTCTCAACAAGGCTTTGCAGTTGCTAAGCAACAAGGGTACAGGAATCAATCCCATTTCTACTTTTTAAAAGGGGTCGTGTTTACTGTCAGCTCCTTTTGTGCAATTCTCTACGACCCACAGCAACCTCACCCACAAGACTTGAACGCTGACAAAACTTAACGCTGTAACACCCAGGTCTTTCAAGATATACAGTTATCCTTCAAACCAAATTGCACTAAAACACAATGCATAAAAAAGTTAAACTGAAAATTGTTTCAACCATAAATCTGACAGCTCGAAGCCTTTTTTTTTTAAACTTATGAATTTAAGTCAATGAAAATGTGGTTTTACATCTTTTCATGTAAATCCTTTTAATCATGTTAGAGGAGCAGATGAAACTCTGAATGCACTTAACACTGCTATGACAGGCATTACATGAAGCTCTGGGTTTAGTTAGGTTTAGTCCAAGGTTCCCTGTTTTCATGTAGACAACCGTATTTCCTGTACACAATGACAGGGAGGCTAACTGCCATTTCCAAAAGGACACTACTTTATCAAGTTGATCCGAGTGGTAATTGATGTCGCCACCTTCACGCCCTGCCGAGGAGGCTATTGATCGCTGGCTGTGGAATGTTCTCTCCGAAAGAGTTTAAAACTCAACAGCGAGCTCTTGGTTTAGATTTGTGAAGGGGTGGAGGCGGGATTACTTTGTGGGTATAAGATGGACGGCAAGGCTGAGTAAAAACAGCTTCCTCATTTATCCTTTGAAAGGTGTCCAATCGATAGTTAATTTACATGCTTTGCTTTAAACTTCAATATCAGATATACAACTAATGGAAAAGAAGAAAGCAAGAAAAGGTCCATGAAAATATCTGTTCAAATGTATTTTCAAAATGTGCACAAGCAAGATAAATTTGTTGCACAATGCTGTTACGAGTCAAACAATGATGTTGCTTTGTTATACATGCCAATCACATAAACGCAGGCTTTCCTGGGAGCCATGTATTAATAATTAACAATTATCAACAATGATTTTATAGGTATTGCAATTTAAAAAGATCTGTAGAGAGAAAACAGCACAAAGCTCTGCACATATTGCGCAGACTCCACAGTGTCATAAACACAGGGTCAGTCACCACCAATGAAAGACTATTGTTGCAGTCGGGACCTTCTTGTTGTTTCTGTACGCAGTTGTAGTATGTACAGATGCATGTGTGCTGTCCAAATACAAGTCTGCTGCTGTTTGGCTGCATCCTGGAGTATGATGGTGGCTTTACACTCAGACATTTAAGCAGTTTAATGTCTTGTGTTTCATCAAGTTGCTTTGGTTGGCACAGAGCTCTTCATCCTGGTCACACAATGTACCACCTCCAGGGTATTTCAATATAATTTTCCATAGGCTTATGGTTATCATAACCCCCCCCCAAAACTGGAACACACAACCAGTGTCATGCTCATCTCTACAGTAAATTGGACATGGTTCGTCAGACATTAGTGGTTCCATTGTAAACAAGTAGTTTTCTTTACCCCAGAAAAGGCCCTTTATATTTAAATACTTTATATTTATATGGAGGGGACCCTCTTTACAGAGGCCGCCATGTTTTTTACATTACTCCAGACTGGACAAACTAAACACCTTTTGAGTTTTTATGACAACTGAAGCTACCACAGGTTCTTTTTAAAGTTTGGAAGGAGAGAGTGAGATGAGGGGTGTTCAGCTGCAACATGTAATTTCAACACTAGATATCACACAATTCTACACACTCTATCTTTAAGCTTCCAAAAACATGCAGATCTCTGTTTATCTCTGCATTTCATCCCTGAGACGCGCTGGCCAACTGTCCAGGGTGTACACTGGCTCTTGCCCATTGTCAGCTGGGATTGGCTGCAGCCCCCTCAAAGGATAAATGGTATAGATAATGAATGGATGGATGGATGAAGTTCCAGGGCTGAATGTCTTTGATTGTTCAGAATCATTTAGCGCAGCAACCACAACTCAAATTTGAATATCTGAGTTACACTTAGTTTGTTTCCTTACACATAAAAAAAAAAAGAGAGACCATGGCAACAAGCTGTGAGCATGAGTGAACAAGAGTTAAGAGAGGTAGCATGTATAAAGTGAATGAATTAGCATTTTGTTGCATCTTTTTAAATCGGTCATCAGTCTGATTTGCCTGATCTCCCTGATTGATATGGAAACATAACACGTACAAGGAATTTCATTTCCTAGTTAGGTTCTTGAGATTAGTTCGACAGAAACATTTGGCAGACAGATACTAACAGCCCAGGGACTATAACAGGAATTAGATTCCTGTGATCAAAATGTATGAAATGCTCCTGAGTTCTGGTAAAGGTTCCTGGAAAAGTCCTGTTGAATACGAACAGGAAAGTGTAGGGTTCTCTGGAGACGCTAAGTAGACACTCAAACAAAGTACTGTAATTTGGGTAAGATTGTATAAAGTGCAATTTTCTAAACAAAGCACTGCATTTTCTGTGCAAAATATACAAGCCGAGTCTAAATTCACTAATATAGCTCTTTAATGTCTTTAATGACAGAAGAGTAATAAGTATTTTTCACACATTCCTTTAAGTCTTAATAGAAAAAAAGGCATCATAGCTTTTATTTATTTTTATTTCTTATAAAACATGTCACGTATTGCAATTTTGTTTCGCATTGAGACACTGCATGCCAATCGTCTATCTTACTTTCCTCTTACCACAGAGTGATACATTTCCCCTGAAAGATGAGGGTGTCAACGGAATATCAAGTGATTTGGAACATACATCTAAATATACATCAGCATATTTCATTAGGGTATGAGTTTACAGAGATGGAACATGATCATCAATCCCCACCAGAGGAAAGACCAAACCTGTGGAAGATCTTAATTAGATGTGTCTTCACACAGGGATCTAACGGCAAATCTCTTCCTGTGAAATACACTAATAATAGGATTACACAGCATGACTCTGACAAAACAGATTACATGATAACTTTTATCATGTAAAATTGTATTAATCTCAATCTGTTCCAAAGGTCGCTCTGCGATGGGAGGAGATGATTAAACGAGAGCGTATATTTGATACTCTGCTTTTGACTGAAATATGTGATGAAAGTTTCGTCATTAAATCCAGATAACCAAGTTTCTCCATTAAAGACACTTATCTGGTCTTATATATTCTGCTACATAGTCATGCTTCCTAAATCTCCATTTGTTAATAACAGGAGAGAGATACTGGTGATTAAGTAATGGGCTGATAAAATTCCACATTTTATCTTTGTCAAGAAACTGCTATAATTTGTGGAGAGGTTTTTTTTTAATAAAAGCATTCTATTTCTATCTGATGGCCTTTTCAATCTCTCCCCCTCTCTGTGTGCTCATTGCACATGCTTATACTCAAGGCCTTCAAATGGTCCATACCTCTGCAGCTACAATTTTAACCAATTTCAGAAAATGTAACCAATTTTGCGCTCATTTTTCTTTCCTTTTCATGGGCTCTCTTTTCATCTTTGGTGGTGCTTCTATTGACATAAAAAAGATAATAAGTTGGCCTCTTCATACGTGTCTGAGCTACTTAAACCTTATATTACCCAGGGTTAAGAAAAAAGTCAGAAGACTGTAGGGCCTTTTCCAATTATGCCCTCTTCCACTGGAACAATCTCCCTGCTGACATCAGACTGTCGCTTACATTGAGGTATTTAATTCCCCAATATAAAACTTAAAATCTTTATGCCTCAACTTTGTTAGTGGCTTATTCTTTGATTACTACAGGTGTAATACATTTTAACATCTCCTGCCAGTGGATTGGTCTTAGTCCTGCCAATCAGATAACTGTAAACTTTCTGAAAAACACTGCATCTCTTCCAACCTTCTGTTCATTTATTCCCTTGAGTACTTGAGTATACAGGCTCTGATCATTGACTATCCATGGACCTCTATCCATGTTCTTGCCCTTGGTGTGTCATTGCAGGTCTCATGGATGTATGGATCTTGATCTCTCAGAGTTTTAACTAAGGGGTTAGCAGGAAAAACTCTGACATTTGGGGTCCCACATACAGCACCTCTAGATAATTTCAGGAGATTATCTGGAGTTCTGATGTCTGAAAGTATGTGGTACCTGGAAATTGCTTGATCATATTCTTTATTAATGTTTACAGTCAACACTGTTGTC